TTATTTTTTCTATGGTCCAAAAATATTTTCGTCATTATAAGTAATTTCTATATAGGGTGGCGCAACAAAGTTATATTTTTTCTTATAGAACACCCGGTATATTATGAGCTTATTTGAAAGAGTTTTTAATTCTAAGAATATCCATATTGGGTTTTATGGGTCTATCATAGACCGTTTATCATTTATAGGCAATTTTATGGAAAAAGTGCAATCAACGGCTTAGCTAGAAAGAAAAAGTGAATAAAAACAATTGCAACCATTTTTACTGAGTCTGGTCCTAAATTAGAAATTCAATCAATCTTTTGCAACTACTTTGTACACCTTTTTAAACCTACAAAATTTTTGAGGCGATAAAGAAAAAATAATCGTAAATAATGTTTCATTTTTCTTTATTTTAACTTATTATCAAAAAATATACATCATAAATAACTAAATATAATAATACATTACAGACATTTTTTTATCATGTTCTATGAACTATTAATACCTTCTCCTTTATGTTTCTGTTCCCTCTCTCTTTTTATCTTTCATTTCTTTTGTTAATGTACTTAGATTTTTGTTCCATTTTTACGTTTGCAATAAATTGTAAACGTCAAAAATTAAAACAAGTAAAAATTTTGATTGAAATTAAAAGTAACCTCAAGTTAATATGGAAAGGCCCGGTCGCGCCGGGCGAGTCCGCCCCTGCTGCTCAAATACCAATAGAAACCGGTGCCGACGGCGGTCTAGACCTCCGCAGACACACTTTCCGGCGCTAAGAAGACTCCAATCGCCACATATTGTTATTGGGGATCACGAGACCATCCCCTCGAAATGCGATCTTTATTATTGTTTGAGGCGCCCCCCTGGTGGACTAATTGGTCGCGACTGGTGCCACAGATTCGGTTGTTTTTCTTCTTGTCACCCAACAATTGTCTAAATGGAATAAAAACGATGCAAAGGAATTATCATCTTATCGCAAACCTGTCATTTGTGGCGGTGTGCGTGCAGGATGTCGGCCAGCGGATCGCAGACAAATGATACTTAATGACACGGTCGGAGATGGAAGGCTTGTGGTGTCCTGCACGACGCGACAACATGCACTTTATCAGCGAAAAAGCCCTGATAACATATTGATATCACGCATAAGTGGTGTTTTTACTGATTTTTAGGTTACAGTGCCAAAAAAGTTCTTATGAATTCTTGAAAACACAAATTTTTTACATTTTCCGCCATTTTGCTTAAAAGCAATTCGAAAATAAATCGAGAAAAACTCAAATTGATACAGCAGAATAAGTCAAATTTGACCACCAATAGCCCAGTCAAAGAAAGAAATCCTAGAGTTGAATTTTTTTTAACGCTTTCTTTACACACGGTCGGAGATGGAAGGGTTGTGGTGTCCCGCACGACGCGACAACATGCACTTTATCAGCGAGAAACCGTTGATAACATTACTAAATCTCGAATTTTTGATGATAAAATTTTGGTAGACGCTCAAGCCCTAATTCCACATCACCACACAAATAATACAGGGTGTCCCAGAGCTCCGATTTCTTCGATTACTTTGACAGTAAAGAAGATAACGATAAAGCAAGCCCACAGACAGGAAAAACCTACAAGAGATTACGATTCAATAATTACAATCTGATATCACGCATAAGTGGTGTTTTTACTGATTTTTAGGTTACAGTACCAAAAAAGTTCTTATGAATTCTTGAAAACACAATTTTTTTACATTTTCCGCCATTTTGCTTAAAAGCAATTCCAAAATCGAGCAAAACTCGAATTGAAACAACAGAATAAGTCAAATTTTACCACCAACGATCTTTATAATATTATAGCCCAGTCCAATTAGACAAATCGGTGGAAAAAAATCCTAGAGTTGAAATTTTTTTAAAACGCTTTTTTTACACTTGGGTAGACATATATCAAAAGTCCCCGAAGATGGGGGGCGAACTTGAGGAAAGGGAGGGGTGAAAGGTCTTTTTTTCAAAATTAAAGCTTACAAAATTTCCTACAAAAATGATGCATTTTTGTTGTAGGCTGACAAAAAACTTAAAAAAAAATGTGCTTTAACCGCATTTAGAACAGAATTAGTCTTGTAATTTGAAAAAACTCTCAGTAAATTTATTTATTGGGTGCAACACTTCATTAAAGTCTATAAAGTCTTGATATACAGGGTGTCCCAGAGCTCCGTATTTCTTTGATTAATTTGACAGTAAAAAAGGTAACAAAATGCGGTTTCTTTTGGACGATAGATATTTATTTTTTCTATGGTCCAAAAATATTTTCGTCATTATAAGTAATTTCTATATAGGGTGGCGCAACAAAGTTATATTTTTTCTTATAGAACAC